ATCAACGGAAAAATCCAGCGATTATCTCATAGCAGTATTTCTCAAAATGCCAGCTAAGATAAAGGGGAGACGCTCAGCTGCACAAGAATCAGCGATAAAAGTGGCTGAGAGAAGGCTTTTGAGTGAAATGGCTGAGTGTAGGTGAGTTTTGAAACCACGAACGTGTTGATTGTAAAAAAGTATCTATTCAAATCTTTTGAAGCAAAAGTTGCGTCGGCATTTTACTGTGGATTGCGTCTAATACTAGATCACACAGGGCACTGAATGAAGTTATCTTATGAATAAGTCTGATGTGTTGAGGTACCACGTGCGTCGTATTTATCATACCTTCCTTTTATTTTTAGGTTTGATGGGAAAGAGTTCGCAAAAGGATTAGATCATACAGTCACAGCCGCAAAAATGAAAGGAAAAACACATTAAAATTCGTTTCATGCACTACAGCTCTTGGGCAAGGGCATTGAAGGTAAAAAAAAACACGTTATTTTTAATATAGCAATCTTCAGTATGAGTTAGGACAAAAATGTTGTTTTTCACTTTTTATTACAAACGTGTAAAATGTGTTGGTTAAAGTATTTTGTAATAGTGTAGGGCTATTTCTTTACAGAGTCTGACTTTTAAAAGGCCAAATAAGATTTTTATTAGAAGTTGACTTTATCCAGTTTCTATCACTTGGTTATAACATTCATTCCTCGTTGGACTTCCCAATAAACAAGCTGTATAGGCCTAATGAAGTTCAAATGTTTTTTTAAAGGTCCCAGTAGCTACGGTTTCTTCCTCGCGATCACTGTCTGAAGACTCCGAGGGCTGTTCTAAGTCCTTCAGTATCTTACGAGCGCTCGCTCCAGGTAGATTCTCTCTCTCGTCATCCGACTCAGCAAATACCGGTTTTCCCCAACCGGCGCGCATACTCTCTTTCAAAATTTTCTTTCTTTCCTCTGGAAATGGCTTTTTAACACGAACTTTTCTCTTCCCCATAGCGTACTCGACTTCTTCACTGCTTAGGTGATGTAAGACTTATGACCTATTACCGCACACGTAATCAGCTTATAACTCATTACCTATGCTCCGCCCCCCTCATGGCAACGGCCCTTAGCAACAGAGGCGTGGCTTAGTTGTCAGCCTGACTGGGGCGCGTGCCGGTTGAAAAACTCATCAAAAGACACATTTTGCGGTGCAAATTCAAAATAATTATTACAGCCAACGTTAGATACTTTTTTGATTAATAGAAACACACAAAAAACCCAAAAACATGATTTTAAGCGTAGTTAACCCTATCTGTCCCCTTAACAGTGTAACACACACCCTTCTGGTGTTGAGTACAATACAGAAAATTGATCACATTCAGTTTCTTTCTTTCTTTCTTTCTTTCTTTCTTTATTTTGAAGAGTATATTTTTAGTAATAATCTCTTCAGAGATTGCATTCTTCAGAGATTATTACAGAGGGTAACAATCAATGAGGGTCCATTATCTCGCAATATACAGATATTATGATTAAGTGCCGTTTTGGTGGTAAAATGCAATTTATTACATTTTATGTGTTGTTTAAAATGTAAGTATTGTGGAATTTTAAACTGATACTAAGAGTTGTCATCCCTTTAACATATAAAAGACTGAAACCCATTTACTCAACTAATGCAGAATTATTGAGAAATTAAACATTTTTACAAAATTAATTCTTTGCAATTTGTAATTCCTGGTATATGTGCACTTCATTGAATGCATTAAAATTAATTGTATGTGGTAAATTTTGTTATTAGGAGGTGCTTGATTCCATAGAAAAATAGTGTGAAATAAGGTTATACTGATGATAATTTTAGAGAATGTCTAAATCTCAAGTGTTAAGGACATCAAAATGTCAATGTTAATGTATGTGTGAGCATTTAAAAACCAGATTACACAGCCTGCTTTTGAATTGTAAGTTGTACATTTTTATATAATATCATTTTAAAGTAATTAATACTTATAAACATGTTTCATTCACGGTATCATTGTTTTTTTTTCTTCTTAAATTCATTCATTTTCAATGAATAACCAATAAATAAAAATTACCAGATGCTTGAAATTTGATGAGTATATAAAATTCAAGCTCAAAGCCTTCCCCTTTTAAAGATGCATATTGAGTGAATATTTACGTTGAACCACTGCAACCAAATCAACAAAGCCACCATATTAATCATACATCAATTTCAATAGTAAAAAATACCACAATGTGTTATTACATTATTTTCCAAAAAAAGATATTTGCACATATATTTTACTTTCTGTACCTTAAATAACAGAAAGAAAAATGTTGGTCTAATTTATGACCAGAAATTTGAAGAAAGTGGAGTTCAAAGGTTTTTTTTTTTTTTTTTTTTTTTTTTTTTTTTTTTTTTTTTTTTTTTTTTTTTTTTTTTTTTTTTTTGGTTTAAAATGGATTAAAATTTTTTTGGGCTTTTTTTTTTTTTTTAAA